ACTTGAGTTAAAAGTCATGACGCTCCGCTCCCAAGCGCCCTCGGTTTCTTATCTACGCATCACGAACCACTCTCTGAATTTGTTAAAATGGCATAATAGACTGGGCCACGCCAGCTCCGGCAGAATATCGAGAGCGTTGCCTGAAAAGGTCAATCTAAGCAAAACGCACGCCTGTTCCGCCTGCATGCTAGGCAAGCTAACCAAGCAGAGCTGCAACAGCTCCTTCAAACCAGTCAATGCTCCACTTGAGGCAGTGCATGCTGACTTAGTTGGCCCGATCTCTCCTTCAACAAACGGCGGTGCCAGATACTTCCTCACTCTGGTTGATCAATACACAGGCTACATTCATACTGCAATACTCAAGACTAAGGATCAATCTACCTCAGAAATAAACAACTTCAAGCGTCTATTCGAAAAACAATCCGGACACACTCTTAAGAAGTTGATTTCCGACGGCGGTGGAGAATTTTGCAACAACACGCTAAGCTCAATCCTCTCAGAAAACGGAATAATACACAATGTCTCGCCCCCATACACGCCTCAGAACAACGGCGTGGCTGAAAGAGCAAATCGAACCATTCTGGATATGACTCGATGCCTTCTAATGCAAGCTAACTTAGCCCCGGAGTGGTGGGGCGAAGCTGTCAAAACCGCAACGGCTACGACCAACTGTCTCCCTTCCTTGGGAAAAGGAAAATCAAGTCCACTCGAACAAATGTTCAACGTCAAGCCCAACATTAACTTTCTACGACCGTTTGGCTGCCGCGCCTGGGTAGTTAAACCGAAGGAGAATCGCAACACTAAACTAGGCCCTTTATCTTGGGAGGGAATCTTCATAGGCTACGAGAACGACTACTCATCGTATCGAATTCTTCGAATAGAGGACAGTCAGATCATCACGGCAAAACACGTCCACTTCGATGAAGCTACTTTTCCAGAATGCTCAGCAATCAACAAAAGCGTAACGGAAATCGGCATCAATAAACTACCTTCCTTTACGACCGAAGAACCAATGCCATTTGCCGAAGAACTCGAAATAAGCACAGAAGAACAGCAAGGCATGAGGGAAGAAGAAGAGGAAATAGACCGAATTATCACTCAAATTCGAGAAGAAAGCCCCAAGGAGTCAACGGACTCAATCATCATTGATGAAGTACGAGAATCGTCGCAGCCCAGTGCTCGTAGTCGCTACACTTGGACTACAGCTCCTCCTCAAAAGGAAATCTCCAGCGAACTGAATGTGAAAAACATCATCAACGATTGACGGCGCCGACACGCCTTCCTCATTACAGTGACTAGCGATCCAAAAACTCACAAACAAGCCATGTCGAGTCCCGACCACCAAAATTGGAAGGAGGCTGAACTCAAGGAGATAGCCAACATGATGAAGCATCACGTCTGGAAGGATCGAGCCAGACTCCCTTCAGATGAACCAATTCCGGCAACTTGGGCTTACAGGAAGAAGCTCGGCGCGGAAAACCAAATTATCGAGTGGAAGGCGAGAATTTGCGCTCAAGGGTTCAAGCAAACCCACGGCTTAAATTTTGAAGCCAAATACGCACCCACGGGCAAGCCCGCCTCTCTCCGATTTCTTCTGTCTTTCGCGGTCAACAACAATCTCAAAATCCACCAACTTGACGTCAGAAGCGCGTTCTTAACCTGCCCTCTTGAAGACAAAGTAACGCTTCTACCACCAGCAGGACTGGATTGTCCAGAGGGGTCTGTACTTGAGCTGAATAAAGCCATATACGGCCTGCGACAAGCACCACTCGTTTGGTACAAGCGACTGTCGAACTTCCTAAAATCAATAGACTTTCAAATCTCGCTTGCGGACCCATGTGTTTTCTGGCGAAAGAATCAACCGGGCAGACCGGCCACGTGGATATTCGCACACGTTGACGATCTTGTCATCATAAGCCAAGAACCTGAAGTTTTTCGTCAAGAAGTCGAAAAAGAATTCGAAATCAAGTACCCCGGCGAAGCAGTCTTCCTTCTCGGAATGAATCTGGAACATTTTGACCACGGCCTTCAGATCATCCAGACGCAATACATAGAGCGAAAACTGATTGAGTATGATCTCGCCGGTCTCTATCCGGCTTCTTGCCCATTAAATCCACGGGAACCGCTGAAACGAGCAACCTTAAGTGAGATCAGTGCACTAGCGAACCTGAAAGTCAACTACAGAGCTCTCATCGGATCTCTGAACTACCTCAGCATCTTAACCAGGCCGGACATTTCTTTCGCGGTCAGCACGTTGTCTCAGTATCTAGAAAACCCGGGCATCAAGCACTACCAGGCAGCGGTGCAGGTGTTTCGTTACTTGATGGGGACCAAGCACGTTGGCCTCACCTATAGAAGGGATCCACTTTCTCCAGTCAGGGCTTACGTCGATGCTGACTGGGGCAACTGCCTTGATACTAGACGATCAACGACTGGTTTCGTAATCGCAAAAGGGACTCACTTGCTTAACTGGAAAGCCAGCAAGCAGCCCACAGTCTCACTCTCAACAGCGGAGGCTGAATACAAAGCATTATCGGACTTAGGCAGGGACCTTGCCTGGTTTGCGAGCCTGATCAAAGAACTCGACGTTGAAGTTTCCACCAGCAACATCGAAGTGGCTGTCGATAACAGAGCGGCCATCGACTTAGCAAAAAGTGAAACATCGCAAAACAGCTTCAGAACAAAACATATGGACATTCGACTGCACTTCGTCAGGGAACTCATCCAAAACGCCCTAATTAGACTGCACTATGTGAAAACTACCGAAAACATAGCCGACTTTCTAACCAAAGCCTTGGGTCGTGCCACGATAAGGAAATCCTTAGCTGCAATCGGCATCTTGCAAGTCTCAGAAGCTGCTTCTAATCTGACGACTAGAAGCAAGCCAGGCTGTTGGAATTCAAACTCAACAGATAGAGAATTATCTCTAAAGAGGCCTAGGATCCATAATCCAGAACATGCCGCAGTGATTGGTAAGCCACCTTCACTAAAGCATGCAATGCACCATCTAGGAGAACTAACTCTGATGGAATGCGCAGAACACGAGAGATCCACTAACGTGACAGAACCTGCGATGGAAGCTGACGACTTCACCAGTCCAAAAAGGAGGTGAGTTCGCAGCAGCTAGACTATAGACAAGATAACTCGCAGCGAGCATGCAGGCTGACTTCTGTTCACCATAAAAGCAGCTTGCTAGAACGATTATCATCCCCCATCGTAGACACCGTGTCCAATCAGAACGCACCAAGAGAAATCATCGGTGAGCACTAGACCAAGAAGAATACTATTAGACAAGCTACTAATACAATGTTCATTCTTTAGATAAATCAACAGCCACAAATACACCTAACAACCGTAACACAAGCCAATACCTTGCAACCAATAAAGGTAAGAAGAGAAACTTGTTATGAGCTAAACAAGAGAAGAAACTGAGACTGACTCAGAAGTTGTTGTTTAAACAGAAATCGATTGCACTGCGCAACACCGATTACTAACACAAAGAAAGGAAGCTTGATCTAAGACCTCAACGTAAGACAAGCTATCTCCATCAGCCATCGCTGAACAGAACAAGAAACTAACACAGAACTTATGACAACGAACAGAACACTTTCATTCCTATCTTCCTCGTCACTATTCTCTCATCTCTTCTCGTCTCTATAATTCTTCATTAAAAGCCTCAGTGCAAGTCTCGCTTGCTTCTAGGTACATAACTATTCCAAGCATGTCATCTACAATTCATTTTTAACTCTTTCTGATGAAAATAAATGATTCTAGTTGCTTGAATTTTATCAAGTGCTATTGCCCCGTGGACCAATTCAGACTACCTGGTGGGTTTCTTGTTCTAGTACATAGGCACAAAAAGTGTTCGCAAGTTAATGACGTGTCTTTTGTACCTCACCAGACTGCATCTGCACTTGAGCCTCAAGCCCAAAGGTTCGGAACGGCGCCAAAGTGCCATCATGTTGGTCGGGTGACATGTCTTACCTTGTATGGAATTTTTGTTTCTTCAGGCGGTGTGAGACTTGACTCTCTTGGATGAAATGAAGTGTCATGTTACGGTTCATTGAGCAAAAAATGACTATATATGCACTGCAGTCTGCAGAAGCAGATAGTCATCTGAGAAGCGGTTGCATCGTCCCAGGCAAATGAACATCCTGTCCAAAGAAAATCCTCTGACCAGAGTCTGGGAAATGTTGCGCAACAAGCAAGGAGGGCATCCGTTTCTTTCACAGATACTTTCGAGTGTAGTATTTTTTGGTTACATGGTTCTCGTCCAACAGCACAACGTTCACTACGTGTACAAAAGAGATTCTCAGAGTGGAGGAAAGACAGAAATAAGCATGATCCTCTGCTTAGGCTTTTATTTTGAGAACCACATCTGAGGTGTTGAACCGATAGATAAATCAGTCAAGGAAAAACGATTCTCAAGGGAGCAGTGAAATAAATCTATGTTTTCTTGAGAGTAAACCCAGAATTCCAAAATCATCTCGAACACTGATGATACTTCAAATCTTGCGTGAGTTGTGGCTTGACAATGAATGATGAAGGCTCCGGTAAAGTTTCGTCTATTGTACACGGGTATATGAATACATTGCTTCGGAAAGACCAATATCAAGATGGTCCATGAAGGAAGAGGAACGAAGAGGGGTGGAGGGGTGATTGCGTGAATGTCATTGTGTTATGTTTCAAAACATTTTGTATGTGGAACACAGATGTGATCCTGGAAGACAATTTTATTTTCTGGAATGAGAAACCAAAGAAAGGCATTGGTATTTTGATTCTTCTTATTTTTTTTTTCCTAAGGGAAGGGTGGTTAGTAGATAGATAAACAGATGATGAAATTTGATCATAGATTTATCCGGCGATTCCAGAACCGATAACGGGTAGGTTGTTTTGGATTATCTTCGTCCCCATCAGCTTGTCCTGCTGTTCGATGGTTCGCGAGTCTCTGTTTCCTCTTCAATTCATTGGATACATTTAACCGGTATTTTACATTCTGCGAGTCTGGGAAATCAATCACCAAACTTTTATACCTCCATTCTCCGTTGGATTCCTAGCGACTCAAAAAAACAGATAGGATGATAAAAAGGCGTTTCGATGAAAGAAACGGGTGAAAATAAGGAGCCAGTTCAATTCATCAATCATCACCGATCGTACCCGAAGGAATCTCGAACATTCAGATTTCAAGCGATAGACCTAACTTTGATTAATTCGGCCACGACTTCACCATGTTCGAAGCTGCCATGATTTGAGAAAAATCGCTCAGCCCACGACTTCTGATCATTCGAGGCCCTTGAGGATCGGCCGAGAGTATTGGGCATGATCGATTTGAGGAGACCAGGCCACCATCGGGTTGACTGATTCTCAGTTCCAGAGGCTTGAGAATCGTTTGAGGAGTTGGAATTCGAGTCGGCTGATCGATGGGAAGGATAGTGGTAAACTTCGGAGGTGATCAAGGGACCGATCCAGCTTTTCCACCACTCCCAACTCTTCCAATCTCCTTCGAGTAGACTTGGTTTACAACTCTCAACCCAAAATCTTAATTCGACTACTCCAGTTTGATGTTGGATACTCTGAGGAATCCCGCTGGTCCTCTTACTGATCGAGTTCCCTGAGGGGGTTGGAGATGTGTGGAATTTGATGGGCGATTTTAAGATCTTGTTGAGCTCTTCTGATTCTTGTATGGTCTTGATGGTCATGTTCATCAGGTTGGTAGTCGATGAAGGTGCGAATAGTTCGGATGTGATGCTGTAGATCTTTGTTGAGCCGCCACGATAATCAATCCTCAAGAGATCAGTTTGGAGGTTCATTTTGAAATTGAAATTGATTCGACTTACCACCAGGATTCCTAGACAACCCCCAAAGCTAACGATGACCAAGTTCCGACCCATCCGGAACACCCGACGTATCCGTTCAGACCAACCTACTCGAGACCAGTGATGGTATTCGTCGTGCCTCAACGGCTTCTCGTTTACCGTACCCCTCGGCATCATGAATGGGCCTAGCATGGGTTGGGCGCTCTCTTGACCATGACTTAATCTGCGAAGTTCGTCGATCAAGGCCTTGTCTGATTGATTATGGCGATGAGCACTCGAAGTGACGTATGAGCTTGAGTGGATCTTCTGGCCATCGTGTGATCGAATTAAGAGAATCTTTCGTGTCCATTTCTTCGGCTGGAGTCGATAATCCGGCAGGGTAGAGGTTTGTCGGAGTTGTTGACTGCTTGTTTGGATAATCCTCGCGAGGCTTGAATGAGTGCTAGGCTGGAGATGATTGAGGAAACCATTTGAGATCGATCGCATTACGTTCCTTTGCTTTTTTATTTTTGGTGGTATTTGGGTTTTGGCAGAAGTTCTCCGTCAGCCTCAGAGGCTCAGCCACTTGAGACCGTAGATCACCCGGTCTGCCTCGAACACCCTTTCGGGAACCCCGGGGAGCTGAACACATACATACATCAACTCCAAGTTCTCTTGACCCTTGGACTGCCCAAATACATATTTACAAAAAGAAAACGAAACGAAATTTAGGATGTCGCAGGATGCCAAACTATTCTCAAGAGGAAAAGTGCAAGAACTCAGGGCAGAACTTCAGGTTAGTGAGCTTTCATTTCATAGAGCTCGTTCTTGTCTTTTGAGGGAGGAGAAATTGAGGGCTGATCGAATTCTCTGCCACAGAATGACAAGAAGGACAAAGGATTCCAAAGGAAGAAGAACACCCTCAAGAAGATCGTCGCCAATATGACCATGGTTAATAATCAATAATTTCAAGCAAGCTGCCTGGCTCCAAGTACTGACCATCATCTTCAATTATTGACAGGGTAACGACATGGCTCCCTTGTTCCCTGATATAGTCCAATGCATGGGAATTCAAGTCTTAGAGATCAAGAAGGTTGGAAAGCTCATTAACAATAATAATTACAAAACATAACATCGGTCTGTTCAATCAAGTCAGCTGGAATAACAGAACAACTGATCGAATGGCTTGCTTGTTTGTTTAATTATACAGATGGTATACCTCTACTTGACAAACTATGCCAGGTCAAAACCAGACTTAGTAAAATTTACCATGGATGGCTTTCTATCAGTAAACAGGCGGCTTTCATCGGTCCCCAGAGAATCATCGCTAATGAAAATCGTTCGGTTTTTTTAGGATTCTCATGATCGGAACCCTCTCATTCGCGCCCTGGCTATCCGTACAATGTCCTACATCTCCGTCCCAGCCGTCCATCGGGCCCTCCTAGATCCCTTACGTCACGCCTTAAAAGATACCGATCCATACGTCCGGAAAACAGCGGCTATCTGTGTCGCCAAACTCTTCACACATGATCGGAAGTTAGTCGAGAAGGAGCAATTCATAAATAGCCTCAGAGATCTATTGGCCGATTCTAATCCGACGGTCATTGCGAATGCCGTCGCGGCCTTGACGGAGATTTCAGAAAAGAGTGAAAACATTCAACTCAGACTCAACCTGGTGATTGCCAATAAATTACTGTCGGCCTTGAACGAGTGCTCTGAGTTAGTCTACACCTTTGCTTCCTCAAGTTCCCCCATTATTGCAAGAAAAGCGAGATACAGCAGACACTCACTTTCCTTTATTGCCGGTCTGAAACTGACTTGATCGATTTATCAACTGTCAGATGGGGGCAGACATATATAATCGAGGCCTTAATGTACTACGTCCCTGAACAATCAGCCGATGCCGAGATCTTGGCGGAGCGTCTAGTGGCCAGGCTACAGCACTCGAACAGTGCCGTCGTCTTAACAACTATCAAAGTGATGATTTATTTGATGAACTACATGTCAAATCCAGAAATTATGGAGACGCTCTGCAAACGAATCAGCGCCTCTCTTAGTAAGTTCCTATCTCGATCAATTTAACTGAGAGAGCGGTGGAGGGGGCTTTCAATTTTCTGATTAGCATCTTTCGACACTTTTGACACTACCCAGTCACTCTACTCTCTTCAGGTTATGAAGTTCAGTATATCGCTCTGAGGAATATCTTGCTAATCATTCAGCGAAGACCAGCCGTTCTGAAGAATCAAGTCAAAGTCTTTTTCTGCAAGTATAATGATCCAATTTACGTGAAACTGGCCAAACTAGAGATTATCTATCGACTTGCCAGCGATGGAAATTATGAACAGGTTCTCGCTGAACTAGCAGAGTGCGTCGAAAGAATTGTTTACGTCCTGCTTAATCTACCGTCTAATCATCCTGTTGTTGTCACCCTTGTTGGTACACAGATACGCAACGGAGGTGGATGTAGATTTTGTCCGAAAGGCAGTTCGATCCATCGGAAGATTAGCAATCAAGATCCCTCTGGCCTCCGATCGATGTATCACGGTGCTTCTAGAGCTTGTAGCCACGAAGATCAACTATGTTGTCCAAGAGGCCATCGTCGTCATCAAGGACATATTTCGGAAATATCCCAATCAATACGAGGGTATCATTGGTTCTCTCTGCCAAAACTTGGACGCCTTGGATACCCCCGAAGCTAAGGCTTCGATGATTTGGATCATCGGCCAGTATGCCGACCGGATCGAAAATTCTGATGAACTGCTCGAGGATTTTGTTTTCACTTTCTTGGAGGAACCTGTTGAGGTTTGTCTGCACACCCGCACTTTCCAAGTCGTGCCCACAATTATCAACCAACCCGACCGATGAATCCTCACTTTTACCTACCATTGATTCTTTCCAGGTTCAACTAGCGCTTTTAACTGCTACCATCAAACTATTCCTTAAACGACCCACCGCGGGGGCTGAGTTGGTCCCGAAAATCTTGAAATGGGCAACCGAGCAGGTTGACAACCCAGACTTGAGAGATCGAGGATTCATTTATTGGAGACTATTGTCGACTAATCCAGCAGCTGCAAAGCACATCGTCATGGCCGACAAACCTCCAATTTCTACCGAAAGTGAAACGCTCGATCCGGCCGTCCTTGACCGGTTGCTATTGCAAACTGGCACACTCAGTTCCGTGTACCATAGAAGGTATTCTATTCCATCTGTCTTGAAACAGCCGTTGTTCTTTTTTTGTTAATATACTATACTGAGACGATCGAACCTGCTCAGTCCCGAGATTTTCATTCGACATACCAAACCGAAATATCTAAGTGATTCGCCCGCTCTGAATCCAGCAGCAAAAAAATCGTATCAAGAGTCATTAGAGATTGCAGCTCGACGGCCACCGCCGGTTCCGGAGACGATGACTGTTCCAAAACCGATGTCCCCATCAACAGTGACGAGAGAACCGACTACAGCTGAGGAAAGTCCGAGGCATTCGACGGCCGAACCAACGCACTCCTCTTTCAATGATCAACTACCTCAGGAGACGGAGAGTGCGGTCCAGCAGGAGGTCTATCGGACCAGCAGTCTGGATGTCGATGACCAGCCGGCCGTCGATCATGATGATCCCTATGCTGCTCTCAGTAGCTTGGACCCCTCCGGATTCTATGGTCATCAACAGGGCAATTATCAATCCGATGAGCCTCAACCTTTAAGCGGAATGATCCATCATCCCGGCAATTATTCCTTGATTTGAAATATAGGTGATCTTATTTATTAATTTATGTGTTTACGTTTTTGATATGTATCTGAATATGTGCCAATGATTGAGAGCCTTTGGGAACTGGTGGACAAGTTGGCCTGTAATCGATGTGCCCCCCCCCCCCTCCCTCTCTCTATGTACTTAGATATGTATAGATATTTTCATTTGAGATCATCTAGAGCTACTTGTACACACATCCACACATGTAAATCACTACTTAATCTTAACTTGAATTCCATTCATGCGCACTTTTGAAGAATAATAAATACTTAAGTTACCTAACTTAACCAAGTCCCCCCTGGTGGGAGGCTCGCTGGTGTAAAGCACTGGCTGGTGGCGAAGCCACCCCTCCCGCAGGGAGGGACTTATGAACTGTGTGGGGGTGCTCGACTGAGGGAATCTTTGGAAAGCAGGTTAAGTTTCCAGAGACTGTAGCTCAAAGGACAACCGAGCTACATATATGGTTCTGCAGAGAGAAAGATGCAATTGCATCCTGGCTTGCCTTCTGTCAGCTCCGCTTTTGAAGATATATCTTCAATCAAAAGATCGAAGCAGCAAAACAAGGAATAAGAACTTGCCATACTTGAGCCCGGGGGCCCAAGCGCAGCCTGAGATGGGTGTGGCCTTGACTTGTCTTGACAGGCTTCAAAAATTTGCCAAAAAAACCCTTGTGGGTATCTAGCTGAGGTTATGGGCTCTAAAAATCACGACAGCAATGCTCTTTCTAAGTTTTGGCTGCTGGGATTGACAGCATCAAAACTACAGGCTGGAAAATTCAAAGAGCAAATTTCCAGCCTGTTTTGGTGGGTGGACTCAGGCGAGCACCCCCGCAAAGTTCGTAAGTCCCTCCCTGCGGGAGGGGTGGCTTCGCCACCAGCCAAACTTAAGCTCCACCCAAAACCGACCTCCCGCACAGGGAGGACTTTGTTAAGTTAGGTAAGTTACCAGCTGAGCTAAAAGCGAGTGGTTTTAACTCGCGGCTATCGCTCAGCTACGATAGCGACGACTATTCAAATGTTTGCGGGAGAGCACCAAAATGAAGTACATAGATGCACAGGTGTTTCCTTTCAGCTAGCTTTCGAGCTACATAACTGTTGCCAGACAAAATCGGAGCTCAAAGCCAATTTGGCTTGAGCTTAGCTAAGCCCGGTGTGGTTGAGTTTCGCGGCTGAAGTCCTTAGCGGAGCAGCCACCGATACGGATGCCCCCATTTGCTTGCTTGTTGCGCAACATTTCCCAGACTCTGGTCAGGGGATTTATTTGTACAGGATGTTCATTTGCCTGGGACAATGCGACCACTTCTCAGATGACTATCTGCTTCTGCAGTGCATAGTCACTTTTTGCTCAATGAACCATAACATGACACTTCATTTCATCCAAGAGAGTCAAGCCTCACACCGCCTGGAGAAACAAACATTCCATAGAAGGTAAGACAGGTCATCCGACCGACCTGATGGCACTTTGGCGCCGTTCCGAACTTTGATGAAACTGTGACCGATTAACAGGGAGGAGTTTTCTGAGAAAAGTTCGGACAACAAAAATATATTCGTTGGAACAGCTTAAGTTGGCGAAAAATGAGGGAGAAAGCTGATGATTTTAATTTCTTGTACTAGGCTAGATTAAATAGACTAGATACAAGAGTTCAAGTTGTGGTTGTTGAGAAATGAATAAAGAAACAATAATGAATAAAAAACAGACTGAGAGGAAATTAGATTCAGTGTTGATGAATCATGAGAGAGACATTATTTATTTTATGATAACTCTACTTGATAAACAACAAAAGAAAACAAGAGCCACATTTCTGATGAAGATGTTAGTTTCATCAGATCAATCTCAACACCAGAACTTTAAGAATAATCAGAAGATAAGCATGGAGAAGAAAGAAATTAACAACTAGGGATTCAGGGTTCTTTTGACTACAAGAATTTGATGTTTAATTTTCATGACTTGCTACTAGACGAACTATAAAATTATTAGTAGTTTGGTGAAGTAAAATAAGAAAGAGGTATAAAAGAATTGAGAGGTGAAGGAGATGAAGAAGGGAAGAGTCAAAATTCCAACACCCCCCGCTACTCATGCCTTCTGAATCAAGAGAACAACTGATCGCTCTTGCTGGGGACAAGTTTCTTTCATCGCTGAGAGGGAACGGCGAAGATTGATCGTTCGTCAGAATCGGACTTCTTGAGGACAGTGCTCGTCGATGGGACGGAGTTCACCAGATGCATGGATGTAGTGGGTGTAGTGAGAGCTGTGAGGGGACTTCGGAGCCTTTTCGGGGTACTTAACCCAACAGTTGGTCGGTCGATGACCGGTCTTCTTGCAGTGAACGCAGACGGGTGAGACGGACGGAGTAGGGTCCGATGGTTGAGAGGAAGGCTGAGCGAGAGTGTGTAGAGTCATCCGAGGTTCGATTGAAGATTTCTTGTTATCTTTTGAGATTTTGTTGGTGACTGAGTAGGATTCGAGTCGTTTGACGATAGCTTCAAATGATTCGGTCGAAAAGCCCATGGCAACAATATCGCGAAATGAACGGAAGTCTTCTCGAGGGAGTTTACGCAGCATGATCATCATTTTTACTTGGTCATCTAGCATGATGCCAGCGAGTAAAAGTTTTTGGTTGGCTAATCTTATCGAGTTGCAGAATGTTGAGACATCTTCATATTCAAGGTCGAGAAATACATCGAGAGCGACTGATCGAGCTGCAAGATCCGACCCCGCGTACTTTCTTCTTAACAAGGACCAGAGAGCTTTGCCGTCAAAGTGATTGCTAGGTGGCAAGGTGGTACTGACGAGGGCTAGATTTTCAGAGTCGAGGTTTTGAATGATCATCGAATAAGCTTTGACGTTGAGTTTTTCAATTTGAGCCAACTCATCAGCTGAGGTCTTTTCATCGGTCTTGAGTACGCCGGTGACATATGTTCGAATGCCGATGTCTTCAAGTTTAGCGGACATGGGGAGAACCCATATCGTGTAGTTGGATGAGGTTAAGAGGAATCGAGTGGTTTGGGTGACGGTTTCGGAGACGGAGTCGTTTTTTGACATGTTGAAGAGGATAAGAGATGGATGAGAGAGGGTAGCGGTCTGTTCGACTGTTAATCGTGATGAAACTGTGACCGATTAACAGGGAGGAGTTTTCTGAGAAAAGTTCGGAAAACAAAAATATATTTGTTGGAACAGCTTAAGTTGGCGAAAAATGAGGGAGAAAGCTGATGATTTTAATTTCTTGTACTAGGCTAGATTAAATAGACTAGATACAAGAGTTCAAGTTGTGGTTGTTGAGAAATGAATAAAGAAACAATAATGAATAAAAAACAGACTGAGAGGAAATTAGATTCAGTGTTGATGAATCATGAGAGAGACATTATTTATTTTATGATAACTCTACTTGATAAACAACAAAAGAAAACAAGAGCCACATTTCTGATGAAGATGTTAGTTTCATCAGATCAATCTCAACACCAGAACTTTAAGAATAATCAGAAGATAAGCATGGAGAAGAAAGAAATTAACAACTAGGGATTCAGGGTTCTTTTGACTACAAGAATTTGATGTTTAATTTTCATGACTTGCTACTAGACGAACTATAAAATTATTAGTAGTTTGGTGAAGTAAAATAAGAAAGAGGTATAAAAGAATTGAGAGGTGAAGGAGATGAAGAAGGGAAGAGTCAAAATTCCAACAAACTTCGGGCTTGTGCATCAAGCACAGTTGCAGGCTGGTGAGGTGCGAAAGACACGCCATTAACTTGAAAACGCTCTTTGTGCCTATGTACTAGAAGAAGAAACTCACAAGGTAGGCTGCGTTGGTCCATGGGGCAGTAGTACTGTCGAAGGATGTTCCCCTCGGGGGATTCTGAACCGTCTGTAACTGCAATAAGGTATTTGATGAGTTTTCAAAAATTTCCAGCAGAACAAAAGCTGGCCATTACGCACTAAGCATCTTGGGAGGATCACTGGAGGACTTCCTGTCGGATCTGGGAGCCTCGCAGTTTCCGATTTAGACCCAAAAAGTCTAGATTTTTGCAGGGAAATCTAGCTTTTTTGGCTCTAAATCAAAACTGGGAGCCCCGCAGATGTTGACGGGAAGTCATCCACTAGTAACAAAGCTGGCTACATAAACAGTGTCCACTGGCCTAGACTCAAAGCCATCGACCCTTTTACAACTTCTGAATGCTATAGCAGCGCGGTCTAAAATTTGGGCATTAGCTAGGACACTAGTGTAAGATCTCATGACTATCGAAGTTTTCTTCTCACCAGACACTGGATGGCTCGGCGATGCTACATAGCAGTGGTTGAATTTGCAGGTGTGAGTGTGCAATCCGGTGTCGCATACTATTCATGATGTGAGAGCTTTGTCAACGGCCAAGACAAGAACATAACATGGAGGCAGATTCGAAAATGTTGAGGCTTACAAGCTTTGCCTGGTGGTACATTTCCAAATACGCCAGGTTTAAAACTCTTAGCACAGGTGATGGCACTGGATAGGTTTATGGAAAGGGCTATGATCATCCCGGCGAATAGGATGTAAATCATCCTGCGAGAAGAGGCTTTGCCGTTAGACATAGCTGATAACATATTCGGGTTGGTGAGGGGTGCGAATGGAGTGGAGAGAACCGGTGATAGGGCTGCAGAAAGCTCAGGAGAGGCAAAGGAGAGAGAGCTATAATTATAAATATCTCCTCTGTGGGAAAGCCAAAGAGTGCGCAAGAGGCATAGATTGGCTGTGCCCAATTCTGTCTACTTTCCAAAGCATAGCGGAGGTGGGTGTTATACACGGCGCCGCCTTGTTTCTTGGAGCGGTGACGGAAGCATAGCGGGAGTTATAGCGTGTCCATGGGGGACTAGAACCTCATGGCGAAAGCCTCTGACACCGCGCTGCCACCCGAAGACTGTACTGTTGTACCTCTCAAGTGTACGGTACAGAGAGGCTTGAGCCTTCCAGGAGCCGGGTCCAAGAGATTGAGACGAAGGCATATAAGGCCGAGGTCCTAAGTTCCCCTCGTCCCTTCCTCCCTTCACCTCCTCCTCTGAGATACTCATCTCTGAAGGATTTTAGTTATTATTTTTTCAAAAATAGCCACTATTGATCATCAGGCTACCAAACCCTGAAACGACCCACCTAGAGTCAGGAGATAGAAATACAAACCCTTAGAGAATCGAAAATCCTACTCTCTTCATATCCAAAGTCATACCCTATCTAACTCATATCAGAACCATTACCTTATCTAACTCATATCCAAACCATTTCCCTTCTACCCCCTTTTCTTACCCTTCTCATCTTTACACTCACTCCCCCCCCCCCCCCCAATTGGC